CGTCCCGCACGGACCCGCCCCGCGCAGCGCCCGCGGACGCGCGTGGCCTCGGGGATGGGGCGTGTCTATGCAAATCACACACCGCTCGCGGGGGACGCCTGGACACGTCCCGCTCACACACCCCGCGGCCACGCGCGTCCGCGGGCGCTGCGCGGGGCGGGTCCGTGCGGGACGGTGGGGAGCGCGGGGCCGCACGGGTGCGGGGCCGGGTCCTTGGTGAGCGTGTGCTCGGGGTGGGTGCGCGGGGCGGGCGCGGTGCGGCTCGGGAGTTGGAGTCATACTTACCTGGCAGGGGAGACACCATGATCAGGCAGGTGGTTTTCCCAGGGCGAGGCTCATCCCTTGCACTCCGGGTGTGCTGACCCCTGCGATTTCCCCAAATGCGGGAAACTCGACTGCATAATTTGTGGTAGTGGGGGACTGCGTTCGCGCTCTCCCCTGGTCTGATGGTAAAAAACAGAAATAAACTGGGAACAAAGGGGGGTGATGGTTTTAGTGTGGGTGGTGTTGATCTGCTAGAGGGCAGGAAGGCTCTGCAGAGGGACCTGACAGGCTGGAGAGATGGGACGGATCCAACGGTGTGAGGTTCAACAAGGCGAAGTGCTGCACTTTGGCCACAACAACTCCCTGTGGCACCACGGGCTGCAGATAGAACAGCTGGAGAGAAAGAGACCTGGGGGTGCTGTTCGACAGCAGCTGAACATGAGCCAGAATGTGCCCAGGTGGCCAAGAAGGCCAATGGCACCTGGTCCGGATCAGGAGCAGTGTGGCACCAGGACCAGGGAAGTGATTCTTCCCCTGTACTCGGCACTGGTGAGGCCACCCCTGGAGTGCTGTGTCCAGTTCTGGGCCCTCAGCTCAGGAAGAATGTCGAGATGCTGGAGCAGGTCTGGAGAAGGGCAACGAGGCTGGTGAAGGGTCTGGAGCACAAGTCTGATGAGGAGCAGCTGAGGGAACTGGGTTGTTGAGCCTGGAGAAGAGGAGGCTCAGGGGAGACCTCGATCTCTACAGCTCTCTGACAGGAGGTCGGAACCGGGTGGGGTTGGAGCCAGGTCAGAGCCTGGGGCTCTTCTCCCAGGCAACCAGCAGTAGGACAAGAGTATGGTCTTAAACTGCACCAGGAGAGGTTTAGGTTGGACATTGGGAAGTTCTTCACAGAGAGAGTGGTCAGACCTTGGAACGGGCTGCCCAGGGAGGGGATGGAGTCACCGTCCCTGGAGGTTTTTAAGAAGAGACTGGATGTGACACTGGGTGCTCTGGGCTGGGTGACAAGGGGGTGTTGGGTCATACGTTGGATTTGATGATCTCAGAGGTCTTTTCCAACCCAGTTGATTCTGTGATTCTGTGAATGGGAGCCCTGCGGCCACAGGCATCACCCGCTGGAGGTGGCGAGGGGACAGCAGAGAGCCTGGCACTGGATGGGGACGTAGTGAGGGACAAGGAAGCAGCAGAACGTCGGACCGTGGGTGTAGGGGACGATCCCCAAGGTGTCTGGGACCCTCCGGAAGGGCAGGAAGGCAGTGAGGGGAGCCCAGTCCCAGTGAGAGGTTGGGGAATAGCTGGAGGTCCTGGAGCATCCCGGGGCACCCTCTCCAAACAGGCACTGCCGATGCCCGGGAGACACATCCACATTCCCGGTTGGAATTGGCCAGTGGGCGGGTCCGCGGGAGGGGGTGTGGAGGTGCCGGTGCCCCTCGGGAATGAGACACATCCACACCCGAGTAGGGGGTATTGAAGTGCAGCAGCCCTATGGAGACCAGTTACTCTGAGAGCCTCATAGGCCATAAAAATGTTGTTGTAGGTTTGTCACTGTTAGTTCGTTCTGTCTTTGACCATCAGACCAGGGGAGAGCGCGAACGCAGTCCCCCACTACCACAAATTAT